TGTGAAGACAGTTCAACAGGGAATGAAGAGGCGGCTACTTCCTTTCACCATCGCTTTGGAGACAATCACAACAAAACTCGGCAAGCGCGCCAGAAAAAACTCGAAATCTACGCAGTTCATTCCACTGTCTCGGGACGCTACGTTTTAGCAGGTGTGGGCGTCAGCAACGTTCAGCTAAATGTGTCTAATTGCAAGCTTTACTCTAACAAGTTAGAAGCACACATTTCTTCGTTTTACAGAAACACCCGAACGTAATAGAGGGGGTGCTTGTTTTTAAATAAATGGAAAACATACCTCCAAATCATAGAGAGAACATCGATGTCACCTTGATGAACAGCCCACCCTTAGTTCGCTGTTGGTCATCCTCAGTGAATGAAAACATTTGAACGTTACGTAGTGTGTCAACAGGGGCGACAGTTGGACCTGCAGCACTGCTCCATTAAGAGAGCTTGCAAGTGTACACTACGTGAACATTCAGTGAACGAAGCACGACACATCACCACGCAGCACTTCACAGACGCAGAAAAACATAGTAATCTTCATTACGTCACCAAAAGAAACAACAGCACGCCACAGCAGGCTTTGTGAGGCTTAGCAATCCTGCTGTTTCGAATGGTGGCAGCAAGCTTGAGCGCGAGCATCCTTGGCCCCGTCCCATTCAGCAGGAGACCAGAGCACAAACTATGTGACGTCACGGGATGCGCCCGGAATAGAAAGCAGGCATCAATTGTTCTTCTAGGTGGCGTAAGCTTAGCTGGATCTATCTCTGGTCTTCCACGGTGTATCAGTAGTTTCCGTGCTCAGCTGCTGACGCGAAATTCATAGGTTTGATCGTGGCCGCGTCCATCGAATTTTAGTGTAGCTGAAGTTCTTGAGGCAAATGTGGAATGCTACGTCAGTTCACGCTTACAGGCCCCTCACCAGCCTCTGAAAATACAAAAAACGAGCGCCATGTTCTCCAGACGTTTCTTGCCTTTGCGGCAAACTTCCTCACGCACGAACATTGATTGTCATGGCGTGTGAATTTTCTCCTTCACTTCTTTGTCATGCAGCTGCTATTTCCTTCTTACGTGTCACGCGTGACTATCATGCACGATCAAGTGATTGCGCTTCATCTTGTGTGTTAGTGACTGTGCAAGGGGCGATAACAGGGTGCAGCCGAAAAGCGCGAAATCTTTATAGGCGCAACACTTAGTGGTGGAACTGCACACGTTATTTCAAGAAATAGGTAACGAAGTAAGATATCGCCTTTAGGATGGATGGCGAAAGTGAAGAGGAAAGCACTCCGTCGTCTCTGAACAAGGGGCGGTGAGTGCCGCCAAAAAAACACAAAAAAAACTCGACCCTCATCTACAGAATCGGTCCCAATCACATGGTCATTTTAAGCGCTAAAAACTCTCATTATTGTATATTAAATGAATTTCTGCTTGGTGGTTACTTTGTGAGGATGTTGCGCCATGTTAGCGCATTTTAGACGACCAAAAAACGAGATGACGCACATGGTTTTTATTCTAGTTTATGCTGCGGAAACGAATGTTTCAGTATGTTATCGAGGAAATTGAATTTTAAGTTACACAAGCCCACATTCACGAGGTAAACGAAAGAGCATGTTTGTTTACCAAGCTTACTGTTGGGCCAGACTCAGCGGTCTTTGTGGGTGTGCGTTAACCGTCACCAACGCATCCAGTTAATTCGTTCAACGGCAACACAAAAGCACTCTTTTGAATGGTAGTCGTTATTCTGCCCCAGTTCAGGGAGTGGTCGTGCTGCGACTCTACACGTTGGATAGGGCTGCTTGTGTCACACGGGCGTCTCAGCGCTTTCCCGTGAAAATGTGGTGAACGTGTTAGGCTTGTTCCTTCGGGCTGCTGTCTTGTAGTACGAAGTGATGCCGCCGCCGCCTCACGGCGCTTTTAAAGCCAGTGCATGCAGTAGCGTCACGGTGACGCTTCACCATTGGTTGTCCGCATAGCGCCGTGAACGGTGACACACAATCTCAAAACACCTTTTGCAGAACCAGTCTTTTACACAACCAGTGTTTCTCCGAACATTGTGAACACGAGGAATGCAAAAAGCCCCCCTACGCATCTGCATATAACCAAACAAAAATTTACCTCATATATTTTTCGTCGTTAGGCACTGCATGATGTTTTCTTTTTCCCATGACCACAAAGTGAACGCCAAAGCTAGGCGGGGGTCGAAAGCACAAAAAGGCGAGATTGGCTGAATTCGGTACGTCCGCTGGCTTTAAAAAATAGGGGAGGCACTGCCCTCAGCCATCTGAAACTTTGCCGGTGCTGACGCACACACCGCCGAACCATCGGATACTAGGTAAAGATTCGGCAGTCGGCACCAAGTGGGCCTTAAGACAATTTATTTGCCCCCCAAAATTTAAAGAAATGAATCCGTCTCCCGGAACATGCCTGTGACATTGAAAACGTCGTCCCAGGATTGATTTATATGTGGGGTTTAACGTCCCAAAACCATCACATGATTATGAGAAACGCCGTAGTGGAGGGCTCCGGAAATTTCGATCATCTGGCGTTCTTCAGCGTGCACCCACATCTGAGCACACGGGTGAAAAATTCTGGTTGTTTTCGATGTTGTAGAAACCAACTCGCACCACTCGGCATCCGAGACGCACCCCCCGAGGTAGTATAGCAAAGTGGGAGACGAAACGTGCTGCCACTATTCCGATAGCGGCGATTCACTTGCTGGTCACTTGAAGATTAAGCAGGAAAGCAGAAGAAGTTCTAGTAGGCTGAGAAAAACTTGTATTTACAGTCTGTACAAAAGTTACATAAGAACGGACAGCAACGTTACAAAAAAAATAAAAACACTTTGGAAATGAACCGTCTTCTGTTGGGCGACCCTACAGAATTCGGCACAGCCGATGGTGCCTAACACCTCAAGCCCGGATCATAACGCTTGGCAGAGCACCGGGGCCTCTTCTTATTTCCTCGTTGCTCCGCCCTTACACAACTCTCAGCGAATCGTCGCCTGCTTCTCCACTGATAAGACAGCACACTTGGTCGTTCAAAAACCCCGTCACAAGGACGTCATCTTCGTGGACGTGGGGGCCCATGCCTTCTCTCCAAATAACACAACTACCAAAATGTAAATTACACAAAACTATAAAATGTCATAGAGGCATGGGCAAGCTCCGCGGCGCAAAATTATCTAGGAAGAGCTACACGTACTGGGTATTGAGCACATGTGTACGTGAAAAAGTCACACTTTCGCCGCAAGGGCCGTGAAGTAACGAATGCCATAGCAAACCCTTGATGCCATGCCGCGGAGGTCTAGTGGCTAAGGTGACCTGCTGACCCACAGGTCACGGGATAAAATCCCGGCAGCCACGGCTGCATTCTTGATGGAGGCGCAATGCAGCCATAGGACAACTTCCCTGTGACACGTCAACTTCTTGATGACCGGGCAACAATCCACCTGTCTCCTGTGCACTCGCGGACCACACGTGTTTCCACCTAAGAGCTCATTTGTAAGAATGAACATGGGAGCAGTCGAAGACGTGTCAATGCAACAATACGCACCAAATCGCCGACAGGGCGCCCGATCATCGCGACATTACTACGCTCTCACGTGTCGCCAGCCCACCCGCTTCGAGAGCTACCGGAGCTAAGCCGCACCGGGACAAAAGGGTGTCGGTGACCTCCGCGTTTTCGTGACGTGCGCTGCTTCAAAACGGCGTGCGTGAACACTGCATGTGGCTGGGCTTCAGCTGAATCAAAGTGAGGAGTCACCTCGCTCCTCGGGATCTCGGAAGAGGCCCATTGATGCGCCGACTGCCAGTGCCAAAGTCAGTTAGGGCGTCGTCACAATGACGTTTCTAGTCTCTGTCACCCACGTGGGGCTCGGTTTCTTTTTCTTGAGTTAACAGGAACTCGAAAGGCTCGGCCGTCTCTGGCGCTGCTGAACTACGCGGGCTACCATGCGGGTGCCGTACTTTCCGTGCAGTCACGGCACGTACAGTCAGACACGTTTTTACCGAGTGTCATCCAAGTGATGCTGCCTGCCAACAACTGACTTGCCTCCCCATTCTTAAGGCACAAAGTAAATAAAAGCAAACTAACTGCCACGCAACCAATTTTAACTGCGGTCCTACAACGGGCCTACAGTATTTGCGCCTCCATCGAGAATGCAGCCGTGGCAGCCGGGATTGTATCCCGTGACCTGTGGGTCAGCAGCCCAGTACCTCAGCCAGTAGATCTCCGCGGCATGGCATCAAGTTGTTGCTATGACATTCGTTGCTTCACCCTTGGGGCGAAACTGTGACTTTTTTACGTACACATGTGCTCAATACATCGACCTAAAAAAGAGACAATGAATCTCGCCATCGACTCAAGTAAGGCAGTTACGTTAGAGACCTTCAGTTTATTTGTATGCAGATCACTGCAGACTTCATTTTCAGGTATATAGCTTCCAACGTTGTTATTTTGTGTTCCCACATTCTTGGTGTGTGGACCGGATACTAACAATCACCGTGGTGTTTGCCATAGTTACGATATTTCAATTTTTACAAGTGAATAATACTGGCGTTACACTTCCCTGCTTTTGTTTTTCAGTACTGTTTATTTCTAGCTACAAGCAAATCTTCGCATCATGCTTCATAAGCTTGTTGGCCCAGAGGGCCTGTATCAATTATTAACGTTGCATAGCATATTATTTAATGTGAACGAGGCAATTTGTACACCTATAGCTCAACGCTTCCTTTGTAAAGCGTCTCTGGTGTTAATTTCTTTAATGAAGCTTTTCACAATTAGATATTTACAAGAGCACGCGTCAGAATTAACAATACGCCTACAAATTGGTTCTGCTCACTTGTTTAATGCTACGAGAACGAGCTTTATACAAACTTCGTCAGAAGCAAAATGCCCTCTGTACGTGAAACACCAAAGTGACAATTGGCTGTTACAACAATAGCTTAGAGGGCTCTAAGCGTGAAACACAATGCTCGGTTTCGCGAGGCCTTCGCAGCAAATTTGTGTAGCAGGGGAACGCAGGTTTTCTTCGGCTCCATCGTGGGCACTGGCATGCAGTACATAACGGTGGCGATAGCCGCCGTTTGCTGCCTGGTGGTAAGCGGATATCGTAATTGTACAGGTAGGCATTTCTTTCTGTAATCACGTGGTGTATATTTATTTCTTTGTTCGAGTCATAGTGGAATAAAAAAAGTAAACCATTGTATTTCGTGCATTCTGTTCTGAAATCACTAATACATTGCTGCTTCACTGTGCGCAGCTATCGCCACGTTGACTCAGTTTTTTAGTGTTCAATACGAAGCGTTGTCAAAAACTCTGCTGCAGAATAACTGACTGCTTCTATAACATCAGCGTAGAGATTTCTTGCGACCAGGTTGTGGCAAGCATGGCGTCTGTGATCACGATTCCTGCTATTGGGAATAATACTCCAGATTCAGAAGAGTACTACAAAAAAAATTCTACAATGTCTCACTTTAGATAATTCCAATTTATGATCGCGTAATACCGATCATTAGCGAAACTTCAAAACTTAATTTCGTCACAATGCTGTGTCTCTGACCACATACCACTTGGTGTTTCTCAAAGTTACTGTTGCTGGTACGAGGGTTGTTTCGTGATATCTTTATTCTTACTTCGTGACACAAGTGACAGAGCTGTTGCTAGTCATGTCACGTGAGTCTATTTACATTCTGATACAGCTGATTGTTGTAAGCATTTCTTTACGTGTGAAGTGTGTAAACAATGCGCTTGTTGGTTTTACATGCTTCTTTTCTGCAAAAGTGAACATTGTGTCGGCAGCCGCAACTTTTAAAGCTTTCATAAAGGTTTTCATCTTCAACAGCCTGGCAACGCCCAGTGGAGGAAGACATGTCCCATGTCTCTCCAATTTCCCATTGCCAGTATTGGCTGACACATTTTTAACCCGAAAATTGTATGAATATGACCTGTTCCCATAAAAGCCTGCCCACATAGGTACCCTGGCTTCTTCGTGGCATGCAATCTATTTCTCTTTATGATTAACAGTTGCGATGGCTTCTCGCTATTATCTCCTAGCTATTTGGACTTCCGGATTTCCACCAAGACATATTGAAGAACTTTTCTAATCACTGACTGACTCCGAATGTTTATTTAACGTGGTATCGGTAATCTCCTCTTATATTAACTCGCTCCTTCATCCTCAATTTAAAATTATTTCGCTTCTTAAGCATCCACGATACGGCACTGCAGGAAAGTACCATTAACAAGCAGCTGTTGTATACCTTGTCTTGAGAGGTGCCGGTTGTATGAATTTTCTGAGAATACTGGTTATGCACCCTACCATGTTCATATTCGTACCTTACATTAAATCTTGCGTTTAGGATTCCACAGTATACTAAGCCATTAGATGTATTCATCTAGCACTACTGGAGCCTACACGTAAAAGTTACTTCATTACGGAATGGAATGGAAACAACTTTACTGCGTCTTGCGGAACATCAGTGTGTGAAGCACCCAGCTCAGTCTCCCGTAGATTACGGCAGCGAATATGAAAAATTTCTTCTAAGCCAAGTAACTGTACAGTGTACTGCAGCATCCTGGTGGGTGAAAAGGCACATTAATTCACATGAGCGATCGAAACAGCCGCAGCGCTGCCTAGGTTATACATTCACCCCCTAAAAAGCTGTGCATTTTCAGTGGGCGACTGCTTTGAAGTCTGTGTACCTTCGTTTGCAGATATTCATGTTCAATGATAATCTGGTTTTCCAAGCACAGAGCAAAATGGTTTAGAAACTGAAAAAAAAAACTGTGGAATTAATGTGCTCCTAGCTCATTCAACATTCCTTGACTATTTTAAGCTTGTAGTACGATGAAGGTCTCTCCAAACAGTGCTTCATTCCCTCTATTCTACAACAGAGGGTTTCTTTTTATGCTTAATATTCACTCTAATTCTACACTTAGCCTAACCCAGGGCCATCATTATCTACAGTTCTTTTTTAAATTGAACAAATATTTAAGACTAGTGCTGCTAAAAAGAACAGCAGTGAAGGTGATCTTCACTGTTATTCTCAACCTACCTCTTGCCTACTACAGGACCAATGCCTTTATCGATACATTCAAACCTCTCTTCCCTGGGTGAATTGATTCTATTTCATGCCTGTTAATTATGCCCTTTGCCGTATTAACTAACATCTTGTCGTCCCCTGCGGCATATTATGTTTGTTCATTCTATTTCCCTGTTTCCCTAATGGCTGTTTGTTCGTCTTAGGACACCATCCACCAAGGCGCATGAGGTAACAACCTAGGTGTATTGTAAACCACTCAATCGTAGTTTATGACAGGAAGTTATTATCGAAAATGAGTATGTGCTACAAACATTTAGTAAATACTCACCCCTTGTGCACTAAAAGAAAGAAAACAAGCAATAAGTCAATACATTGGCTGCGAAGTGATATTCTACAGCCCAAGACACCTAGTACGTAATAAGAAACATTAGTTGAGAACAGAAAAAGCTATGGCAGCTGCGAGAAGACCCCGAAGGAATGCAGGAACTGCACCAACGATGATGGCACGTGCGCATATATATGAGAGGTGCAAGCTCTTGGTCTAAGTAGGAATTTTTGTCTCTGGATTTCGGAGAACCTAGTGATTGTTCTTGGTTTCAATTGAACCTTTCTGCGTTGATAATCGATGTGTAAACAACCTAGCATGTCCTATTTGAAGCCGTGGAACAACCTATAAGCTACCTAAGATCGGCGTTACATATCAAAGGCTTAAAAACAACGTAGAAACAACCAATTAGGCTACAAAGTCGTCCACTTACGCTTATTTCTCTCTTATTATGAACTAGACCATAGGCTACATATATTCGTTCTCTGATACTCCTCTCTCTTCCGACGATGCGGCTGATATTGTTTTCCGCTCTATCGATTCATGGTGGGGAATTTACAGTAACTCCAGAGTTGTGAAAAGATATCAAGTTTAAAATATTGGTGAGTGGCCACTTCACCGTGATCATTTGCTTTGACAAACGTGGTTATGAGACCTGTTTTATGAGTTTCAATTACGTAGAACACCATGGTACAGTATTCAGTTGATATCCATATATCCTTTTATGGCCTACAGATACAAAAAGAAAATGCTAGCCTTATCAGAAGAAAATCGCCTCTTCAATATGTTTTCACATATCCCACTTTGTAAACGAACAACAAAACATTAGAGCAGTGCCTAACACCGACGTAGCTCACCGGCCCCTTGTACCACCAACGCAGACTCAGACTGCGAGTCTTCAACATGCAGCGAACTGGAAGTTCCCGTGTCCGGGAGACCTCGGCGAGACCACTTCTGCAGACCGCTATTCACGCCACCTGCTGTGAGAGAGGAACTGCGAACGTGCGTCTGCAGGAAGGGCTATGTCCGTAACTCCTGGGAGGAATGCGTGCCAAGGAAGATGTGCCTGCGTTGCAAGTTCCAGTGGCAGAAGGATTTCCGCACCTGCGCGTCTGGCTGTCCGTCGTCGTGCAACAGGGCTGACGACATTGTCTGTCAGATTCCGTGTGCTCCTGGTTGCGAGTGTCCTCCTGGCTGGAAACTGTAAGCTTTTGAAAAGACGATAGTCATTCTAGGGATAATTTAAAGGCCAACTCCGGTGATTTTTCGAGGTCAATGAACCTCAACGAAATTCGATGGGTATGTCCCTTTGCACACTTTCGTCTTTCATGCCAAATCACAGGTTTGAGTGATGCACTGATCGTCTGCAAATGAATTTGAAAGATTGCCCCGAAAAGCTCACCTTACTTGTCAGAATTATTGGCAACACTGTCTGTGTGACGTCATGTTTGGCATATTAAGGGAAGTGACACAGCCGATGGCATCGCTACTTTGGCCGCTACAGCGTTTATTGGGCTTTCCACAAGGCGATGGTGGTGGTGCTTGGCACGGGTATGGCAAGGGAATGCTTTCTTTCTTCCTCTTTAGTGTTTCGCTGGTGCTTCGCTGAAGTAGTTTTCACAGTGTTCATAGTCCGCACCGGCAGAACCAGTATAAGGCCTCTGGCTCTACCAAATAGTACGTAATACGCATACAGGGTGCTCGGTTGGGTTTCGGTTTCGGTATTGCACATTTTTGCCCATTATAATATTTTCAATTTTTCTTAGCATTTCAGCTGTTGGGCTTGTGACAAGAGTGTCCCAGGAACATAGAAACACCATAACCTTGACATGGTCGAAAAATCGCCGGAGTTGGCCTTTATCGCAGAATTTTTTGTCTGTCTGTTGGTCTGTCTCATGATTGAGCCACCCGACCAAAGTTTAAGCACTTTCTGAACGCCCAGCCATCTTGGAATTGTGGCTGCGTTGATCCTTCTGATGACTGTTGATCGTAAACGAATATCACAGATATTTGAGGCGCAACATCAATGCTTAAATTGTTAGCTACTGTGTTACTTTACTGTAAAGTCATTATATACGTAATTTTAAGACCCTAGTGTTTCTTAGGCTCTGCTGAAAATTCGACTCTCCGCACTGAAAAAACCTCTGCCGACGATGGGGTTCTATTTACCTCGGCAAGTTTCTACTTTCGTGCAGCGCTATTACATGCGCACAGCCAATGACCCTTTCACGACATAAAATACATTTGTTTCTCACAAATTGTTGTTCATTGCAAGTTGTCATGCTATACAGTACAACATGTGACCAAATTATGGCTGACATGTCGCGGAGGCACGAACACATGGTATGCCAGCAGTGATAATGTGGCAGAATGAAATCTGTTCAAACAAACCTCCATGACATTCATGATGCCATCATGGATATCGTACGAGAACAGCCTCCCGGGGGGGGGGGGTAAATGAGATCAACGCTAGTAGTGCAGCCGGCAGAAGATTATCTCGTTTGATGACATTCGCAGTGAATCACAGAGATACGTACGTGGCCATTTTTGTTACTGTTAACTTTTTACTTTTATTATACAGCTCAGTAATCGTGTGTTCGGAACTAAACACAAATGTTCATCTTTATTGGTTACCACTGCTCAGTATTCTTGTGATGGTCAGAGAGTCTCCGAAAGACCGTAAAATAAAGAGAATGTCCCCCTTGAATCACTATAGGGGCTCTGACAGTGACGCAAGTTGAAAAATGATAGCAACTGTAATGATGTTTTGTCCACAAACTACGATACGATTATGAGGGATGTCGTGGTGGTGTCATTTTTGTGAGCCTTAATGTAAGTACACTTGTCTCCGGCATTTGGCCTCCACTGCAAATAATAAAACTGCGCGAGAAGCTTTACACAGAGAATGCATTAAAATTAGAATTATAAAACACCATGGGCAGAGTAAGCAATGTTATGAATTGCAAGCTTGTCGACTTCAACAAGTAGCTTTCCTGGGACAGCTACTGTCATCACCGAATATCTTCTACTGCTTTAGAGCAAATGAATCCGGCAGGAAGGGCTCATTGTGTTGAGAAATCATACAGGCGCTTTTTCGACAACAAATACCATTTGTTCGCGACCTGTCAAATGATTACGATACATATTGGCGCTTCATTGTTGACAAAAACTCGAAAATTTGGTGGGAATACAATTAGCAAGAAAACAGCTGAAATTCAATAAAAGGGTGGTGAGGAGTTCATTTAGCAGGCTTGTTTGTTTACGGGGGTAAACTAATTTTACAAATGGAAAACAGATTGAAGTCAAATTGCCTGCATTTTTCATTTGTGCACTTTTTTCCTTATTTGATTGTTTTTTTTCTAAATTTACCGACACTTTAATGTCTGGCTTTTCTTTCGCTGCCCAGTAATCTACTGATGAGCATGTCTTCATAATGGTATCACGACTAATGCACTCTTGATACGCCTTCGGATGACTTTTTCATGCGATAGAGATTATAACCCGTCCCTTTATTATGAAAAGAGAAATGATGTGAGACTGTTTGATGCTCGATCTCTTTTTATTGATTTTATTTGAAATGTGTACTGAATGTTTGTTAATTAGCTACCACTAAAAATTCTGTATTTCGCAAATCAAAACACCGCAAATTATTTGCATTGCACAAATTATCAAGCCAACCCTACTTTCCTGACTGGTTCCAAATAGCACCTACCGCAAGCTATTGCAATAATTTTGCAACACCCATAAAGAGGAAATTGCACAACTTTTTTAATGTGTCTCCTTACTTACATATCCCAAAGTTTACTAGTGATAAAAACATCTCAGAAGAAATACTTAGAGAAACGGTATAACTAGCAATATAAAGGGCTCAGCTCAACATATGGCATGAGTAAACTGGTAGCAATATAATTACCCGTGAGAAACGTGTGCTCAATAATACTAATATGCGGGTGTTGTGTCCTAAAACCTAGGTATGTTTAAGGGAAACATGTCCCTCATTATTTCAAATATGTACACCGGTTAGTATTCATAGCTCCACAGTCAAATAAAAAAAACAGAGAAATCGTTAAAAAACCGGGTACCTGTATGGTCCCTGATTACCTCCCATTTTTTTATTATTACAAAGGCATTACAGCCACATGCATGCTTTATCAAAGTTAATTGTGATAATCTTTGAAAACTTTTTGGCTGTAGATACACATAACCTTTTGCCACTTCCGGTTTTATTGGTAGATTATAAGTCACTGTGGAGCACTACTCGACATTGTGGTCCAGTGGGCATGAAGCTGCATTGCTTACTAAAAGTTCATGGAATGTATTCGCGGCCACGATGGCTGCTTTTGAATATAAGTGAAATGCTAGACGCCCGTGAGCTTGCGTTAAGAACACCTGATTATTGAAATTTCCGAAACCCTCTACTGCAGCGTCCCCCACAATCATATCATTGTTTTGGTCTCCAAAACCCTCCAATTATTAATACAATAGTTTCTTTGTATCATTTTGCTGAATCTTCTGGCACTTCTTGTCATCCAAGAAGGTTCCGTTTGTCTAACCGGTGTTGGTGAAACTCGTTGTTTTTTTTTCTGTGCAGGCATCCGACCTTTGTGAGGATGTGCATTAGGGCTGAGAAGTGTCCCACAAAGTGTCCACCTCACTCGTCGATGCAGGAGTGCGTGTCCACCTGCGAACCAAAGTGCGGCCATTCTCCGCCTCTAAAGTGCATCACCAGCTGCGGCACGCCATCTTGCGTTTGCGACAGGGGGTACGCCGAATACATGCGAGGTGGAGTGAAGAGATGTGTGCGACGGGAGAAGTGCGCCCAGATCCTCGACTTGGCCGAAGTATTCCGGCCCCGGCACAGGCTTCACGAAAGTGGAGAAACGTCACTCGTCAGTGATGTGCACCTGGGAGTAGGCAAGCGCTGGCACAAACAGAGAAGTCCCAGGTTGTCCAGCGCTAGAAGATACTCTGACGATAGCGTTGCTGTTGCGAACAGCGAAAATAAGCCCCCGTCTTACAGAGAATACTTTGAAACAAACTCCCCGAGTTTATCGCCCCTGTACGAAACACCTCGTGTCACGGTTACATATAATGATGCTCCTACAGGATATAACCCGACGTCACCACCCACTTTCATTACCTCACCTACACGAGGTAACATACGACATGGCGGCGGAGTTAAAATGCATTATCCATCGTCTGCTTCATTCGGGAACCCCACAGGAAGTAGCTGGACTGGTTTTCGAGCTTACCTATGGGCAACTCCATCTAGGGTCAGAGCAGCGTATAGTAAGAATGATTACGAAAGGTACCCACCAGCTAGAGAGTTCGATTTACTGAGAGGTTGCGATGCAGTAGGTTTTATGTATTACCCTTCCGGTAATACGTGGCGGTACAGTCGAATACGGTTGGATTGGTTGCGAAATTCACCCTTATGGAGTGCCCTCGTTCGCTACTGTAATTTATGAAGCACCTTTCTTTGTTACCACTGGGTAAACTACCATTTCACGGATTTTCGAAACGGGTATCGCGTTTGTCTTCTCAGCAAGTTGACGTAGAGACGATACCAAATGATGTGGTATCATAGGTTTCGCAAAGCGACTGATGTTTGCAGTCCGACCGACTGTTTCAAGAGATATAGTAACGATAGTATGGGAACATTACTGCATTTATTGCATTTGTGTGCTCACATGTATTCAGTGGTCCAGGATTGAGCGCTTCGCTGTACAATGCTTAAGTGTGGTTCATAGAACTACTCACAAGAAGAACTACTGACAAAGCTCGCAACAGAAGTGAATCGAGTACGTCTCATGACCGCCATTTTAAGAAAAGCAAATAAAATCTCTTTCTTAAGAAATTTGTCACCATTTCTTCTTGCCGCATGTCATTTTATTTGTCCGACGGCTCCATTTGCTCCTTCGATGCAAACCAATAAGTTACACTGGGTGAGTGTGACATTGTAAGAAAACATCTCTCTTTTATAAGGCAGTAAATCACTTTTTCTGTTATCCAAACAGACCTTAGAAATCGTGAGCTCTAGAATTGCAAAATCACTAATAAAAATTGGCAGATCCCATGTACAGTGTGAATCGTTGATATGCGAAGCACGAATGAGAAAGATTGATATGTCACTTTAGAATCAGCGCAACGTTACATACTTATTGGGATTGGCACGTTAGGATCTCTCACTCATGTTCGCCATGCAGTCATGTCATACCAAACCAGTTTCGCACTTTGCCATGTGAACAGCAAAACCATGAATGTAAATCATGACGGTCCTGACATACAGTCATGATTTTAATGTTATGACAAGTCACTTATGTTCATAATAGAGTCATCTTATGCCACACCAATTTCGATATTAATACCTTTATCGAAACAGTCAGGAGGGCTAAAAGTCGTTGACGGATAGATAGATAGATAGATAGATAGATAGATAGATAGATAGATAGATAGATAGATAGATAGATAGATAGATAGATAGATAGATAGATAGATAGATAGATAGATAGATAGATAGATAGATAGATAGATAGATAGATAGATAGATAGATAGATAGATAGATAGATAGATAGATAGATAGATAGATAGATAGATAGATAGATAGATAGATAGATAGATAGATAGATAGATAGATAGATAGATAGATAGATAGATAGATAGATAGATAGATAGATAGATAGATAGATAGATAGATAGATAGATAGATAGATAGATAGATAGATAGATAGATAGATAGATAGATAGATAGATAGATAGATAGATAAGCTTAATGTCACGGATGTTCACTGAGAAACGCTTCGCACTTGAATGTCACCCCTCATAATTTTAATAGGACATTCGAAGAATACACACAGTTACATAGGCAATCTGAGGTTTGCCTATGTAACTTTACTACGCGTATCCTAGAGCAGATACGGGTCATCACTTGGTATGTTGTTTGGCACTGTGCTTATAAATGTGCAAGAACTGGTTTAAAGCCGAGTGCACCCATAACTGGCAAACACTTACTAATCAAGGAACTTTCATTAAAGACTGACACATTGATAATTCTTCCGGGAATCAAAGGTGAACTGCAAGGAAGTGAATTTTACTTTTACCACTGCCTTATGCATTCAATGAAAGACAAGATACTGAAGCAATCAATGCAAAGTGGCAGGGCTGTTGAACTTGTGTTTTTCGCTTTTTTTTCAATGACACCTGAAACAACAATGCTGACCACTTGTGACAGTATGGAATGTTTTGGATTACTGGTGATTATCAGCAATGAAAAAAAGCTAACCGTAGACTTTTCGCTACCCATGAGTGAAGCCAGATAACCAAAATGACTTTTGCAGGTTTCTAAAAAAAATTTCTTCTTTGTGTTCGAAGAGAAGTCTCTTCGCAATGTTTCGTTAACAAAAAAAAAAACATTGCGCACAGAGCTGCGTAGACGCGAATTGTGTTGCGAGAGATTGTGGACTCTGGCAATACCCGAAGCTGTTGCTCGAACTTGTAAAAAAAAGTGCACAGAAGAATGGTTACAGTAACTCACTTCAGCACCGCATTTATCTACCACGATGGTAATGAGCTTTCATCTCGGACACACTTACCACCTGCAGAATACCACGTTTCAAATACACCGTACGTCTCTTAAAACAACTATATTGTTTTTGCAGTATTGACAAAACACACTTCTGGCATCAAATACAAACATAAATGTCATTAGATAGACTATTGCTCTCGCCTGTTTCACCTGTGTTCCCATAATCAAATGCAATATTTTAATCTTGGGTACATATGTGGGTGGCATTTAGGACTCACCTAGTGTGGCGCGTGATAACAGAAATTGCTAATTGGGATCAGATGATGTTCCATATTAAGAAGTACTGAAGTTACTATAATACTAGAGTGTGGTGAGCGCAGTGCGCCAGTGAAGTGAGTGCCTTTAAAAAGTGTGCAACATCAAAAGAAGAGCGTGCACGAGTGGTGGTCGAATAAAGCACCAAGACGGCGATATTGAAGCAATGTCGAACACGAGATCACAAAGCACGGGACATCGACGTGCAAGTGGCCCTGGCACCCATGAAGTCGGTAGCAAGTCTCGACACGTCACCACGCCGCACTGTATATCTCTGGCTTCAAGATAGTCACGACCAACACACGACAGCAACAGTTGGGAAGACCAATATGGCGGCCGAGAAGACAACAGGCCTAGCGGATTCAGTCCGACTCAGTGCAGAAAACAGTGCTCGATTCTAAGGCAAGTAGGTTATCATTCTTTAATTCTACTTACATTGTCGCGTGTGCGATAAGGATCGCGCCTGCCGGCAACGGGCTCGGTCGTGTTGTATATTGCACGCACGAAATGCATCGCAAAAGTCAGCTTCGGCGTCTGCACTTCGTCTGTGCTATGCGACCACCTAGAAATCGGCCGCCATTGCCGTCGGCTTCCCGTACGCTCGCTCATCGAGTGTCGCACCTGTCTTCGCCGCCGCGATGAGCTCCGGGCTGACGATATTGGGCTGAGACCTCGTCGCTGTGTTGGGAGTCGTCGAAAACACGTTGCGGGCTTTCGTAAAAAGCTTCGGTTGTAGTATGTCGCCAGCTGTAGTGCACCAGCATGGGCTTGGTGCGGGGCTTTCGCTAGCGTCGAAACTCACTGAAAATTGATCGCCATTACAGTTGTCTTTCCCGTCAGTCGGTCGCAAGTAGCTCGGCGCCGTCCGCTGGCCGCGGCGGTGGACTCGCGTTTGCGCGCTGCACTCGCTCGAGTTTGTGGACAAGGGCCGCATTACTGTCAATTTCTTTGGCGCTAGCTCCAAACTAGCTCGGCGCTGCTCGTGGCGGTGGCCAAGCGTACACGCACTCTCCTGCTCGATGTTCGCTGGCGGCAGACACTCCGCGTGCAGCGCCGTGTTTAGTCTCGCGTTCACTTGCTCGAGCTGAACGACGCCGCTTAGGACTCACCGACTTGTTAGCGGCACGGTGGCTCGCGGAGTTGTGGTTGTGGCGCCGCTCCTAAGCTGTTGTGCTACAGGGATCGAAATGAGTCCTTGACGATGTGTGAAATCACGGTGAAATTATTAGCATGTCATATCTCACGTATGTTTTCATTTCACCTAGCACGTATTTCTCATATGCATTTGTATTTATCCTGTCTCACTATTTTACATACTTCTTGTGCAGCCGTGGGCACACACCGTGCTGAAGACTGTATGCGCTGGCGTATGCGATGCCTGTCATTCATCTCTCGTCGGAGCAGCTTCAGATAGACTGTGCGAGATGTGAAGGTAAAGTTATTTGTGTGTCATATTTTAACGCTTGCTTTTATATTAACGTGCATGTACTTGTCATACGCGTACATCTTCATCTTCTGTCACGTGTGTTTAACTATTTTTACTATATTATTGTACGTGCAGCCTTGGAAACACAACCGGCAGAAGGCTGCGTGCGCTGGCGTCTGCAATGCCTGTCATCTATCGCTTCCGTCGGAGAAGCTCCCCAAGGAGTGAACAAGATTTGACAACGAGACTGGACTTGTACACTTCACAATGAATTGACTTAAAAGAATGGAGAAACTTTATGTGTATGTAGAAAAATAAAAGATTTCGATGTCTCACTTTTGTCGTTCATTGTTGCCGTGACTGCGAAAGCAGTTACACATAGGTGGCTAGCTACTTTTTCGCGTGTTCTTTTCTGCGCAATTTGTTGCTCACTGCGCAGAAAAACAGGCGAAAAGGGTATTAGGCCTGGCATAAAATAAACAAAAAACAATGTTTGAACTGGGGACAAAAAGTTCATCTGATTGGAGTATTTGAGTGGATCAACCATTCGTCCGGCAAGGTGCAACTGTGAAGACTAACGGTAGCCCGGTAAGGTGTAAATTTGGGCATTATTATTCGCTCTGCCAGATGAAAATGTGAGCACTAAATGTTAGTCCTTTGGATGAATTGTGGGAATAACCGTTACTCACTAAGATGTAAATGTGAGGTCTAAATGTTAGTCCCTAGAGCTCATCTGTGGGGACTAACTGTTAGACACAGTGCCGTTAGTCCTTAAAGGGATTATTGGTCGTGGCAGCCCCATTAGTCCCCAAGAAGACGAACCACAGACCCTTCTTAACACCCTTTTGCCTTAAAGTGTAGGCCTGCGCAAGAAAAACGCACATACGAGTGTTACGCCTACGACGCACGAATACAACTTTCTTTGGTGCTTCACTTGTTGCAGCAATTCTTTCATGCTCCAAACCGTGCTTCATGCTCCAAGCCCTTTCATGCTGCAAGCCCTGCGGCGCGTCGCGAGCAATGGACCTATGTGTTAGAGAGGAGAGCTCGGCTCTTCGGGTCTTTAAGCTGTCGGCCCCAGTGCCGAATTTGTAACGCCTCTGTATATATGCTGTACATCAACCTAGTTTAACTCACCATCGTCTCGTCCGCTCGTCTATCAGCTCCGCGCAGAAGCAGTCGCGAGCTGAGAAACCTACGCTACCAAACGTCTGGTGACCTTCCCGGCGGAGTTCGAAGCAGTGGCGCCTTCGGGGCCGTGTTGGCGTCACCGTCTTTCGTAACAACGCGCAGAAAATCACATTGACCATAAGGCAAGCCTGTCGCTATAATTTAACTCGTAGATTTCACCAGAGTAATTATGAATAAACGTAGTATTTGCCAAATTATTAGCTTTCAAAGCTGTAACAATTATCGGACAATGGCAACTTAATCACGAGTTCTTCGGAAGGTCTCGTAATGATACGACCCCAAGCGCCACGATCGCGCAACCATACGCGTGTATATGCAGAATTTGTAGGCGTGGTTTACGTGGCTTAGCACTGCGCTGCCTGCTGCACTGGGTTTTTAGGTCACTCTAAACTCGCACTTGCATTTTGGTTCCTGTGGGTATCGTGGATGCACTTTTCACGAGAACGTACCTCAGGTTGCCATGCTTTGATTACTCGAAATAAATTGAAGATGGCAAATCACGCTTGTTCTTATTACGTGTTTCGAGTGCCCCTCTTCATGCAGAATGTCCCGGCTGCCATCCAGATAGTTGCTGTCTTAAAGTAATATCTAAGGTGAATCACAAGCGCCGACGCATCTTTCTTGATTCCCAGACCATCACATGCGTTTTCTTGCCTGTAGTATTCCCCGGTAAAAAAAAAGACAAGTTTGAAGGCCACATCCATCATGGCACACTTGTATCCTGTGCAACTGTACCTCTCTGAAGCTGTTGAATATGACGTTTACTGTATTTTCCATACGCTTTCCTTCACAAATGTGGCCAATAACAAAACTACACAGTGCTGGAAGAATAGGCATCCAACTTCCTTGATGTCCTCCAGTTTAACGTAGAAAGCGCCTACCTATTATTACACTTAGTTTGCGTAAAGCCATGCAAAATACGGACACCGCGGGCAAGGCAAGGACACAACTGACCCATCGTTCTTCAAACAATGGGCTTACTGACGCGCGCTGTTGACACGTGGCCGCTTTTTCTCATCCGTGACAGCTAAGTGAGCATGCACTTTATTCTGCTGTATGTAGTAAAACGCGATGCACTACATCGTCATATTGCTTGCCACTAGTTGCCTTGGTTTGATAGACGGAAGCCGCAACTGCACAAGCAAGTATATTTCTTTTTGTTTGTTTTTTTCAAAGCTAGACATTGCTTGCTTATTAACGTAAAGAAGTTCATTGATTGATTGATTTGTGGGGTTTAACTTCTCACCACCATGATTATGAGAGACGCCGTAGTGGAGGGCTCCGGAAATTTTGACCACATGGGGTTACGTGCGCCCAAATCTGAACACACAGGCCTACAGCATTTCCACCTCCATCAGAAATGCAGCCGCTGCAGCCTGGATTCGATCCTAGGACATGAGGGTCAGCAGCCGAGTACCTTAGGCACAAGACCATCGCGGCGGGGGAACGTAAAGAAGTTGCTTGAATGGGTTACTAGATAGCTGCGGATTGCGGCGTAACAATAGGGTATGAAACCGAACAAGCACTGACTGTGGATGAGAGTTTCTTGTGGTTCCCATAAATAACGCTTAAACTACGTCGTTTTTGAAAGGCTATACTTCGGTCACAAGGTTTCGCTTTTCAGAACGCAGCCTTTTGGCACTCGTTCCTATCCGAAAGACATGACAAAACAGAACTATATAGAAAGAAATACCAAAGATCATGTGTGTTTTTCATCTGGGCTCGCTGTGTTGCAACCGAGTACTCCACCACATAGCTATACTAATGCTTGAAACCCACGAGCAAGAAGACCCTGTACAGGCGTCACATCTAACAAGGAATCTCGTTAACCTCTGTAATATTTCGTGGCAGAAGCGTAAAATATCCCGTCATCACACTAAGCTAATGAAACAACGGGTCGACGAGCGTGTGAATTATTGTTCCCCAGCCACTGCAATCCACTCAGCCATGATACTTTATAGTCATCAGCCGCATGTATCACTAACTAGGTGCACATGACGCCTTAGAGGCATGTAGCGGGTACTTCTATTGTCCGCAGAAAGACGACTAACGGCGTAAAGAATGTTGTGCTACTTCACAGAAGTTAAGATTGAAGGAGTGTTCGATAACTTGTGGAAGCCGGGAACTTCAAACCCACTGGGCTTTCCCCAACATGAAGCTGCCCTCATAACTCGAAATAGGAGGTGTCACAGTTAGCGAATGTTTATTTATTTATTTTACTTATTCATATACCTACCTCACAAGCCCAGTACATACCACAAAATTGCAGGAGACCTACATATTTTTTATAGTATCACAATGAGTGGTTCATGCAGATTAAAAAGAAAACAAGGCAACATTTATCCCATACATTTTAAATGTCTTGGCTGTACAAAATCAAAAGGGCATGGAAGAACATACAATGGGGATGGTAATACATCAGCCTGAAGTAAGAATGACGACCTGTCGCTTGAATAAAGCTAGAAAATTACTATGGACAGTGTTACACAATATCCAGAACGACGCAGCCGGATTAAGGATGAGAATGACTTGCAATAAACAGAAAAGTATTCAGCCCTAGTGTTCAACAGAGGCGTTCCCGGTAGCTTCTCAAAGACTTCGGTACTTCAAGTGTTGGCTACAATACCCCAAATATTGTTCAACGTTACAATGTGACGTGGTAATTCAGGGAAGTTGATTTTGTTGACGTAAACATAAGGGTGCTTAAAACTTGTTTTCCTGCAAACGAAGGGAAGAACGATGAGGCCTGAAAGCGGCCGAATTTGATACTTGCTGATGATGATTTCGCGCGAGACGGATAAGTGAAAATGTTCTGAGCAAGACGTTAACAAGAAGTGATAGCTTGATTTTATTTGCGCTATATTGCGAGCTATACACTATCAAAAATTAGGATATGTTACTCCTTTGATGGAGTTCTAAGTTGCCACGTGCACTGTAAACAGAAATAAGCCGAGATGGGAGTAAATGACCTTGTCCTCTAGCGCACGCCCAGATGGGAGTTTTAAAAAACCGTCCGCAGGGAGTAAAAAATTTACTCCCCATCAGTAGGGGGTTTTTGCATGGTGCCAGGGGAGTTTTTATTTACATCCATTGGGGAACTTTTTCAGGTCAGTATGGGAGTAAATTTTTTGCATCGACAAAGAAAAAAAATTACGTCAGCAGCCGTACCATGCGCAAGCGTAACTTTAATTACATAACATTTAATGCGCACAACAATGATTACAGAACACAAACATTATCACAACGTTCACGTTATATCACAACACTCGCACTCACCACAGCTTGCCACACGCAGTACATACCTACCATATAGTCACCGGGTATATATATGCACCACATTTTTACCTCCCATGTAGCCCTGGTGAAAGCCTTTTTTCGCTATTAATTAGGCAATCAATACGCACGGCGTAAGTATGAACTTGCGGTGGTCTGATGTAAGCACTTCAACACACATGCCTTTCATCCTAAGCCTGCCTAATATTTATTATTTTTTTTACTATAGCAAAAAAGTTTCATCAGTTGACGCTCTGTCGTACGGGCTGAATTTGCATTAGCAGTACTGTTTGTGGACCCGTAAAATGCACGGAATCATACACAAAGTGCGCGCGGCCTTGAATGAACACATTAACGAGGCACATTTAGCAGCTCCAGCGATGAACCGAGGTAGACCGCCGCTACCGCGTTCGACGACTAGGCCTCACTCACGAGTACGGCACGGTGATTCGATGAATGAGAGCTGGCGATCACAAAATGCTTGCTGATGTGCAGTTTACGTCTCGTTTTTCCCATGCACAGAAATAGGTATCCGCTATCCACGCAGTTTAAGCTACGGAGCGATAGACTTAAACGAATGAGACGGTTCGCAGACGCTGTTCCCGTTGCTCGCACGCATTGCATGTATAGCTCGCAGAGCTCGCCACGGCGGCCGGTGCGCAGTGCGAGCTCGATACGATGCCGGCTTGATACCGACGCCATAGCGAGGCCTTCCTACCGCTTAGATGTTGCAGCCGGTGAAATACCGGTGACACTCCGAGAAGCTACTATCGGCGGAGACGGGGCGAGCGCGTCGCCAGCGCAACTCTCAGACCGGTTGCCGGCCAGCCTGCCGTAGTCGAGCGAAGCCTACTTCAGACCACTTTGAAGTTTCTGATGGTGAAACTCGAGGAGCAGCTGCTGACGATCGTAACAGCTTACTTTTGCTACCATTAATTTGTTCTTCGAAGTTTTTTGTTACTCGGCCCTTTGAAGCGTGGCATTCACGACGTTTCGTTGAGGAATCAGACCGATGTGCAGCGTGGTTTAACGGTGCGAAATATATTGAAATGTTCCCAGTAAATACCAACCAGTCGTTGCTATTCTTCGGTGCACTTATAATATCGTTGCCTGTTGACAAATGCTTACACGGTTAGCCACACAAAGCACATGTGTTTCACACCGACGTGCAAACATATGCCCGTACACACACATACACACACACAAACACACGCACACAGACACACGTCACGCCCAAAGAGGGTTTTTAAAGCTCCTATAGGGAGTTTGTAACACGTGACCTGAAACTCCCTGGGGAGTTTAACAAGGTCATGTCGTTCATAAACTCTGTGATTAATGAGGGGGCGTTTTACGATGACATCCGCCGAGTTCACACCCTACCAGGGAGTAAATAATTGGGGCAGGGGAGTTTTGTGGGCTTATGCGCTGGAGAAACTCCCATCTCAGCTAACTTTTGCTTACAGTGTGTGTGATTTCCTTTAAAGGGGCATGCTAAATTTTTTTTTACTCTCCGAAAAGACTAAAATGACCACTGAACAGAGCTGACGAACCTATTTTAAGCGAATCACCTGCAGGGCAAATCATTAACACGAGAAATGAGTCAAATGATTTCTTTCCTTTTTTTGAAGAGTAAACAATGGCATTGAAACCCTTTTGCGACAAAACACCCCCGCTATTCCCAAACTACACGTGGAGTTAGTCAGCTTCGGTTTGTGCTGTTGATGCAGCGAGAGTTAAAGTTCCTATTTCGAGAGACACTACATAAGAACTCGACAGTGCAGTGAGGGACAGTGCAGTGAGGAAGAGGGACACGTTTGCGCAGTAATGGTGTTCACGCCGCACACCGGTTTGAACTAAGCCGTAAGACTCTTCGCATCTAAAAAGGTTAGCACAAGTGAACATTGGCTAGAGCGGCGAAATCGAAACAGGTGGTCCTGTTATTCACGAGCACACCAACAGTGATACAGTCAAACACATTTCATTTTTCAAAGGCGGGGTAGCCGGTGGATTAGCGGAAAGCAGCCGATCTTGCTGTTGGCTCGTCCAGAAGCCCACATTTCAAAGAGACGCTTGTTCGTTGCTTATCTACGATTATTGCTGTGCACGCGTTGTTACTTTCTCTTTGTGATTGATTGATACATGGGGTCTAGCGTCCCAAAACCATGATTTGATTATGAGAGACGCCGTAGTGACGGGCTCCGGAAATTTCAACAACCTGGGGTTCTTTAACGTGCGCCCAAATCTGAGCACACGGGCCTACGACTAAGCCGCCGCCGCCGAGATTCGATCCAGCGACCTGCGGGTCAGCAGCCGAGTACTTTAGCCACTAGACTATCGCAGCGGGGCACTTATTCCCTTGAGACTGTGCTTTTTATTTGCGGGTGAAAGCACGTGAGCACAAGCGACAAAACCTTACTGAGTGAGATGGAGACGTGCCGGCCGTTGTTGATGACACTAAAAGCTTATCAGGTGGTGGGTGTTGCTCCACACTTAGCTGAGCTGGGCGTGGTGGGACGCACGCTCTCTTTTCAGGCAACAGCTAAGGATTGATACCATTGCGCAAACATTTGTGCTTAATCCAACACTCAGTTCGCAATAGACTGGTTACAACACGAAAGGTACTTCGCTGGATGACGCGGTTGTGTTTCAATACACCGTTCTGTTCTCTTTTTTTTTTATCCAGATGGAACGCTGCAGTAGTTACCTACCACGCTTACTGCGCATAAGATTTTAGTCTGTTTCAGTCGCAGTCTTCGCGCCTTCCTTTCAAGAAAACTGCAGTGTTTTACCAAATTCCACCATGTGCAGACTGTGGGCCTGAAGGATGCAGCAGCTTGGAACAACCAGTTGTCGGAAAACCCCGGAAAGATCGCTTCTGCAAGGCTCGCTTCACACCGTCCTGGGAGAAGGACAAGCTACGAAACTGCGTCTGTAAGCGGGGTTTCGTGAGGAACTCCTGGGGAGAGTGCATTTCCAAGAAAGACTGTTGGCGCTGCAAGCTACGCCTCCACAAGGACTGGCACCGTTGTGCCTCGGCTTGTCCGACAACGTGCGGTCAGCCGGTGCTCACAGACTGCCAAAAGAAGTGCTCATCGGGATGCGAATGCATCCCTGGCTATGTGGTGTAAGCTCCATTTCAAACTATTCCTTTGGCATTTCTTGTAGTAGTTTTCTTTCCTACCTGGCTATTGCTTAACAATACAAGCCACGAGAAAAAAATACGTATTTAGCGCAGATGAGGCACCATGGTTGTACACTAAGGAAAATAATAAATGATAAAATTTTAATCCTTAAAACTACGATATGACTATGAGGCGTGTGGTGGTGAATGGCTCCAGGAATTTTTCGGCGCCTGTTATTCTTTAACGTGCACCTGTATGTAAGTACATCGGCCTCCAGCGTTTCGCATTCATAAATAAGCATTCATCATCGCCGCCAGTATTTGGTCCTGCGGCCTTCGGGTCCGCAGTAGAGCACCATAGCCACTAGACCACCGTGGTGGGCTGACTGAAAGGTGGCTTTCTTAGCAATGAAAGCTCACCCCCATTATATAGATACGCTAGACTTACTGCTACATCACACACATGACACGGAGACACAACCCAATGCATTTGTGTATTGAAATCACGAGGTATAGGTATTTCATATCAACCAGTAAGAAATGTCTGAAAGCATGGTGTTTTCTACAAAACTGACGCTCAGTTCGACTAAGGAAAAAATCGGGACCTGTTGTACACACCGAACTTGATTTGAAACGGAAAGGGTTCTGGTATTCGTTGCTGTTTGTGATCCTTTTCGTTTTTAGCTTATTACGGAGTCAATTCACATGCTCACTCAAATTTCTAGCGTACCACACCTTCGGACCTTGCTCTGTAGACGTTGCTCTGCTGCACTTGGTAGTCCTAATTGGCAACGGCTCCGACACGTGTGTATATTTTCTGGTCAATGGCGATCGCAATAGCAGAGCCACATGGACTGCATACCCTAATATGCGTGAAAGAACGCCACGCGGAACACTCGTCTTATTCCAACGTCACAAAATGCCTGCTCCTGAACTGTGATGTATTCCAACTACAATCAAAGAAAGACCACACGTCTTGCTTTTGCGTTACTTGTTTCTAAAACAAAGATAACATTTTACCATATGTAAATGTAATGAATGAACATACTGCGAATTTAAAAGCGTCCTTAGTATCTATGTGGCAGCTTACAATGGAACAAACTGTTCTGTGATCGTCTATATTGCGGAATTATAGTGTAAACATTTTCCTTGTTAGCAGGCGTATTCCCCGCAAGTCGCGGCATTGAATCCCGGTGGCGGCGGCTTCATTTCCGATGAAGGCGGAAATGTTGTAGGCCCGTGTACTCAGATTTGGGTGCACGTTAAAGAACCCCAGGCGGTCGAAATTTCGGAGCCCTTCCCTACGGCGTCTCTCATAATCATAAGGTGGTTTTGGGACGTTAAACCCCACATATAAATCAATAAATTCAAGCAGGCGTATTCTTACAACTGTTCATATTATGGCAGTCAGACGTCTATCTCCGGAATCTCAACGAGAAAATTATTTCGGTATCGAGTACATCCATCTTGCCTGACATCAGATTTCTGTTTTACCTGATGACGTCAAACATCACCCAGAACAAAGCTAGATACGCCCTGCAGTGTAAGTATATGTTATTGTGCTTCTGCTGTACATTAGCTCACTAACAATTTGTGCGTGCTGCACAGTGATTTTTCGTCTTTTCGCCACTAAACACTCATGAGCAGAAACATTTGATTCAACTGAACAGCATCTTCCAAACGTTTGCAGCACACATTGAAAGAGACGTGGCATTCTAAGAAGGGTTTTAGTCATCCTTTAACTGCCAATTTATACGCAATAATAACGTAATTCATTACATGCTAGGGCTCTGTACTTTCCTAAACACAGCACTCTACTGTGTAAAAAAACATCAAGCTAATTCTCATTACTGCTATATTATTACTAAAAGTGTCTGGTCAACTACATAAAGCATTTACCAACAAAGTCTTCTGTGAGTTCGGTCCAGCACTTTAGTTAAAATGGCTCACCTGTTGCGACATCGACGTGGTTCAGGCTTAGTTTGCATTTTGAAATATAGAAATATCAATTACTTAGTGTTCTGAAATACTAGGACACTCGAATTGAATCAAGTATTTGGTCTATGAAAAAGCACTGCTTTCAATTCATAAATACTTGTGATTTCTCCTGTTCTGTAGAAGGCGTTACAGAATTTTCCCGACTTAAGCGTCGGTACGCTTGTGTCAAACTGGTGTGCACAAGTTACCATCTGTATTTTTTTATTTTAATAGCTTTCTCTGTAATGAGCCCTGCCAGAGACACTAGGAACTCAACCCCATTTGATGTAGTTCAATGAATTTGCTCTTACGCGATTGTTATGTGTTTTTCTTATGAAGTACAAGGTTAGAACCCAAACTTTTTCTGCTGTTCTTGTTCTCTGCAGACACCCAAAACGTCACCACAAGTGTGTCAAAGCCGACAGTTGCCTGCCGAAGTGTCCGATTCATTCAACCTTCAAGCCGTGCGTGTCAAGCTGTGAGCCTAAATGTAGCGAAAAGCATCCCAAAAAGTGCGTTCATCCGTTGCGACACGGGAGGATGCGTTTGTGACGAAGGCTACGCCTACTTCATTAGAAATCGCCAAAAGATTTGCGTGCAAGAGTCACACTGTCGCTTGTTCGCTCCTCCACCACTCTCTTTTACGTCGATAGAAACCGAACAGTTCAATCGTAGTGCAGGCGACATCAATCGATTTAGTGGTGTGGGAAGAAACCCAGAAGGCGCGCCTTCGCACGGTGGCTCAAGAGGTCTCAGCAACCACGCTTCGTTTCCCGGCGCTGAACGCCTTGGTGGTAACTTAGAAAGTGAACGATCCGAGCTGGACACCAAACGAAGCTATTCTCAGTGAAGACGAAGTACCTGGTCCCTCTCCTTTCAACGGAGGGCTTGCTGGGGAGGCTTTAAATTTCTTACGAGAACGTATGCATCCATCAGCCATCGAAGAAAATTTTCGAACGGGCACACGCCTGAGTACAGACTTAGCAGATGCAGCTTCCCTTGATGAGTCGGGCCAGAACACGCACACGCGATTGCTCGAGGGCAACCTCCAGCCACGCGGTTTTGAAAGACGGGGTGAGGCCGATGTCGTACTGCAACCTTTTGTTCCGTCCTCACAGAACGCGCCAATAAGGGGCAGTACCAGCACAGGTGAAAACGCGGAAAGTGAGCCACTTCGCGTTTCTAATTTGTCTGATGAGCTTGGCGTTGAAAACGAAAGGGAAACGTTGTCATCTTTAAGTCCTAACCGACTCCTGGGAGAGCCAGCAATGCGTCCAGAGGCAAACATTGGATTCGACACTTTTCAACGTGGTAGTCCAGGAGAAGGCCCTGATTGGCAGCCAGGATTAAGTCAACGACGTGATGCTTCAGAACATGGTATTTCTGGCTTGGATCAAAGCGGGGAAGTTACAGAACCACCTCTTAGTGCACGCCCAGATGCAGCCCTCTCTGAAGACATAAGGAGGCAGCCGCATTCACAAGAAAGTGAAGGCGATTTTCCAAGGAAGCCCAATGACCAACCATTGCAAACACGCCAATTTAGTGGGGTTACAAATATGGGCATGTCTGGCCATTCTTCACCCAGTGACATGGAAATGGAAGAAAATGATAGCGGAAGATTAGACAAAGCCATGCCTTCGCTTTCTGGAAAGTTCGACGAATCTGGTTTCGCAACGCCACCATCCAGTGCTAGTGCACGTGAATTAGGCAGCGAACTGAATAACAATGAAGATGCGAGAAATACTGAGCCACCTGCTGCTGCAGCGTTCGAAGAGCGTGATGTAAGTGTAGGAGGCTTGGGTGCATCTCCACTTGTTACCCCAGGGGACCAGTCGGGTGTAGGAGAATTACGACCAGTCATACCAGCACCGGGCAGAGGAACGGCTGCCGTCAGTGCCGGGCACTAGTGGCCTGGAGTCGGGTGTTTCTGGGAGGCTTGACGTCCCGATTAGGATTCAAATCAGAAGAAAGTATAAGTGGTCCCGACAAGGTAAAACCAGGAGAAAGTATAGTCAGCAGCGGTACTAAGGAAATTGAAGGGTTGGTGAGAGGTACAAGTTCACCACTTGGCGCAAGACCACAGCCAGAGGGAAGTCTATTATATGAAACCGAAGGGTATAAAAACGACGACTTTAGGTATAGGCTCCTTTAGTACAACTTCACATAACTTGCTAGGATATGGCCGGGCCGGCGTAGAAATGCCTAGGCAACATACACCATTTGATGTTACGCTCCGATACGGCCGACCTCCTTTCACATTTCCTTCTCCGAGAGCAACCACTCGTGGTGCCCAAGAATTTCAAGAGAAGTAGTTTTGGTCGAAGAGCAGGATATGTTACCCTACCTCTTGGTGTAGGAGCTCGCGATAGTAACGTGTTCATGGAGTACTCGAATACAGGTTTACCACTAGCTGGTACAGAAAATGGTCACCCTGGTGGCCTAGAATTGCGTCTATCAGATAAGCAACCATTATTTCGCACGCCGTATCGTCGACATGGGGCCAGGGTCAATGCAGATATTTCCTCAAGGGTAAACGAAGCCCTGGGATATGGCGTAGGCAGTGCCCGAATATATGTCACAGATCATTCTCGAAGTCCTACCGCAAGCCCTGCAGGCGATGGATTTCAATTTCTTCCAAGAATTGAACGAGTGCCCGGACGTCGTGACTATTACACAGAACAGCACCCATTGAACCGAGGGGAAAGAAACTTGGTTGCTTTGACAGAATATGGAAGGACAAGTCTTCGGCCCTTCCTAGTTCTTCCACGTATCCGGGATCCTTTAGGGCACTCTAATGCCAGGCCCGAGTTTCTTCCACGCATTACACCCATAAATTTCAGCGTGAATTATAACAGTGCTCACCTAAGTGCTCTTAGGCGTAATGCCTTGCTACGGGCTTATATCGCAAGACGCAGTGCTGCTGCTTCGGGTATATACGACGACACAACAAGCTCAGGACGTGTCAGTTCACAGAACACAAAAATGCGACAGCTACTGTCAGGAGGTTATCATAGAGCTAGGAGCGTAGAGTACGAGCTGGCTGGTTTATGTTAGAGCACCTAATAATATAATACGGTACTATGACAGTGAACGGTTCCCCCTTTTTTTCTTGGAAATTACACGTACTTGCATAAGACAATCGAGGGAGGCCATACGCATTCGATTGCTGGTGACGTTTGTAGAGCAGCTGACAGGCATTGCAAATGCTCCAAATGTCATTGCTATCAGAGCGTGAATAAAATTTCAATGTAACTCATTTTGTTCACGAATATTATTTCACCGGGTATTCTTGCACACAATGCGCCAATACATGAAGGAAAATATCATAGCATAAAGACTAATTTGTAAAAAAAATGGATATTTTGAGGCCTGCAAACACAGGTTTTAAGACTTCAGCAACTATTAATTTTAAGGTTTGAAACAGGACGCATTTATGTAGATTACTCTCAAGGAATACGTATGCAATAAGTAACGCGAATAATTTTGGAGAACATAGAACAGGCTTCTAAGCCGATCCCACATATGCATCGTATTATTATTATTTATTATCCCACATATGCATTGTATACAAAACAAAGTTTTAAGAAAAAGGAACACAAAACCATGTAATGGAACTACAACACCACTGTTTTTTATGCAGCAAGGTCATTTCTTATGTATTGCACCCATAGCAAAATATTGCAATGGTGGGTCTAACCCTTAAACATATTTCTCCACTTAAACGAAAACCACTTTCATCAAAGTTTCTATGAACCAAGTATTCATGATCCTAATAGCATGCAATTTTCAGCTGATCCTTTTTTTCTTGGTCCACTTGAAGGTGCTACTGATGGCTCAACATAGGCCAAAATAACGTGTTTCCAAAGTTGAAGACTTTATTGTAGAGCTTGTGGACTGCACCCAACCAAACAGTTTTTTTTGAAAATTGTATGTTTTGCAAAAAAGTTCATAAAACTAATTATAAATGAAAGTTCATAAAACTAATAAAACCAGCATAAAACTTTATAATCATTATATTTTGTAAGAAAATTTTAGAAATCATTACAATTCACCCAATTTCACCTAGGCGCCAAGCATTGAATTATAGAAACCTATCAAAACGATCTCTGTCTTAAAAATTAAGGAAGCTAGAAAAATGCAAAAAGGCAGGTATAGAAAAATGCGCGAAGTAGCGATTTATAAGGAATTTTTCTTTCATACTGCTTTGCCACTATTTCGTTAATTTCAAATGTTCCTCATATGCGCATAAATTGTTAAGGCGCTCAAATATTTTCAGAAAAAACTGTACAATTAACGCTTTCACGAGTTTTTTTTTCCATATTTTTTTAGAATGTGAGTTTCGGCAAGCGCACTGTTTGAATCAGTCGGCATGAAAGGGCTGTTATAGTATTATGGCAATAAAAAACCCAACCTGAAGCTTTCATTACTTACAGCTGCGTCGATACTCATAAGCAAAATCAAGCGTATTGTTTAAACACATGTACTATTTGAATACAAATAAAGCGCAATCAGAAACACTTTCTACAGGTTGCGAAAATACTGAATGTTCGAAATATATGGTTTTGATAGCTCAGCTGGGCGAAGTCGCTTTAAGCTTGCACTGTGCAAAGGTGCATATTTCTAGCCAGACACACAGCTATATATGAAGATTGAAAGATGTGTAATGCCAGTGAATAGCTCATCTTCAACTGTTTTAACATTAGCAACTACAATAGAGTAACAAATGTGCGGCATACACAGCTTTCGTAGCCATGCATGAGGAGCACAACATTCACGATGCGCGGTTTCATCGTTTCACTTGTGACTACCAGTATGCTGTTCATTAGCATTTATGAGGTACATATTTCACTTTTTTTTTATCGGGAACATTATCTTCTGGTGTCCTTGACTGCGTGTATTTGCCATAGTGGATAGATTCTAGCTGGACCAATGTTGCCGCTGGGCGGACTGTAAGAAGAACTGGAAAACAAGGTAAAGTGCCAAAAAAGCCTCGTTATTTAGCCTTGGTGGCAAGGTTATAGATAAATAGCGCAGAAGCGATATTTATTTTATTTAAAAATACTGCCAATCCCTTGTCGGGATTTTCGCAGAAAGGACACCGGGAAAACACACAATAAAAGCACACAATAAAAACATCCGTAAGTTATACATCGTTTAGGATACGCGTTACATTGATGCTACCAGTTCTCACAATTTCTAACCATCAAATTCAAACAAATTCTGACCAAATTCTAACAACAAAGTTCTAACAGTAATTGTACTATATCCAAATGATTACAGAGTGAAAGAGTCAAAATAACACAGTCTAAAACAATGGATTTTGCAAAGATGACCACAATAGCGCAATATTAGGGTTCCAAACGCAAATGTTCTTCAATAAGACGTGAAAAAATATTTAAAGAATTGCTGCTAGTAATCATAGCTGCTAGGCTGTTCCATTCCCTTATTGATGCTGGGAAGAATGAGTGTTTGAAACATTCCGTACGGAATGCGTATTCTTGTAGCATTTCGGGGTGCTTCTTACGGGTGGGTCGTGATTGTTGAAGCGTAATGTACCTGGAGGCATCGATGTTGGTTTGCTTATGGCGTAGCTGGTACATGAATCGTAGGCGTGCTAGTCTTGCTTGTTTTTGCAGCGTTAGCATGCCCGCTTCTTCGAGCATTTCAGTTGGTGAGTCTGTTTGCCTAACAGATCGTTTTATTATGCAATAACCCATATAAAATATAATAAGCTTAAGTAAAAAGAAACAATTTCCCCCTTAATATTGTTATAAGCAAAAATTAGGTTTCAAATAAATAAACTATTGTAACTTCAGCATGATATTGGTAGCCTATCCCGAATTCGAAGCGTTCTTGTGAGTGTAACTTTGCAAAATTCCAGCCAGCTTAGTCGGTAGTGTAAATGTAGAAGTATAATTCTTGTCATTTGACGAAACGCCATTACTACAATAGTTGTAAGGTTAATCGAGCTTCAAGTGGTGACAGTTGGCTAAAAATATGCATTTCTGCTTCATCCTATTACA